ATTTTACTTCCTAATATAATTAAAATATATCAGGAAAATATGTTGCATATGAATTAGATTTATTGAATATTTTTCTATTATGCGTTTTACACAAATGTGATAATCACAACATACATTCCTTAAATCACGTACGCAGATGCTTTGCTTCTTCTTGCCCCGCACAAGCAAATGACTTTTGTCTCGCTTTTTGGCTTTTTGGCGGGTTGAACGATCGCAGCAGGGGATTGGGGCCACTGCCACCATAATTATTTCAGATATATATTTTATTTATCGAATTTAGTTTAAAAACGATTATAGGTATGAAAATAATGTGTGTTTATATATACACTATATATAAATATAATAATTATATTACGAAAATAACTCATAAATGCATCAGTATTTTTCATAAAATAAGAACAATAATAATATAACTAAAGTCGCTCGTTAGAACGCCTCTGTGTATAGTGGCAGCCAACGAAATAACGGCGAGTTCCGCGCAGACATTGTGTTGTTTGAAAAAAACCAAATGACGATCTTTTGTCGACAAATCATACATATATACATATGAGCTCGCATACATATTGACCGCCCGAATTTTGCGAATTTGGCGGAGTTGACAAAAATTTGGTTTCAAATCGACAATTTTACCGACAATGTCGATGGGCTATGTTGTCTCGTTTGTCCTTTTTGGCAGGGCTTTGCTGTTGAAAACTGACCTTATGCTCTTTTGAAATGCTACGATTAACGATTGGTCTCATTTCATAACGTCGTTTTAAGAATAAAATGGGTCTAAATCGACATAAAGAACTATGAGAAATAAATGATAAAATATATCTATTGTAACAGATTTCTCGATAAATCCTCTACCTATAACTCACTCTTGAGTTCGATCACTGCATTGTTAAATAAATGTCCCAATTTAATGGCTGTACACTTATCTTTACTTTTAATTCCAACAACTGAGCATTTATTGCTCGTTATTCGAGCTTACAACTTCTTGCTTATGTCTCAATTGCTATTAACACGACAACACTCTAACTAGAACCAGAGAACGTATATGATAGAGAAGGTTCAATTGCGTACTAAGCGTGTGAACTGTCAAAACCTAACAAGATTTTAATAGCGGATTTCACCACATCTGGCTCGGAAGGAGAAATTTTAACAGTGGCGAGTAAACAGAGCTGAGCATTGTATGAAAATTAGGCTCAGAGACTTGCTTTGATATTACAGCTGCATGTTAGCCTTTTGGCTTATATTTTTATACGTTTATATGCAATCGTATTTATTGATATTGTAACGGATTTCTCGATAAATCGTCTACCTGTAACTCACTCTTGAGTTCGATCACTGGATTGTTAAATAAAAGTCCCAATTTAATGGCTACACACTTATCTTTATTTCTAATTAAAACAACTTAACACTATTGCTCGTTATTCGAGCTTACAACTTCTTGCTTATAGCTTGATTGCTCTTATCACGACAACACTCTAACGAGAACTGTGTTTGCTGCACAATCCGGCAGCCCTTATATAGTAAATCTGTAACAAAACATTGCTTCTAGAACATTCTGGCAACTACGAATTCGCTAACTAGGCTGACATCGTTAGCCGTCCTTCTTTTCTTGAAGTTAATTCCATGCGTTTTCCGGATACTCAGTTTCTGGTACATCCCTTGACTTAAAGCTGACTCGAGATTCCATTCTTGATCAGAACGTAACTCCATTGGAACACCGAATCTCGTTACCCACTTGTTGATGAATGCCTCCGCCACTGGTTCAGTCTCTTGGTTAGGAATTGTGTATACTTGTGGCCATTCATTGAAATGGTCCTTGACTACCGAAACATGACTATTTCCTAATTTATTGGTGGGGAATGGACCATCTTCATACACGCCTATTTTCTCAACTGGCGCACGCGAATTGTGCTGTTTCATCTGCCCATGACTCCTGGACCTTGATCCTTTAGCTACAATGTCCTCAGCATATTTCGCAATCCTTTTTATAGCTGATTGGCAACCAGTCCAATAAAACCTTTGCTTCAAATGCTCCAAGGATTTCATGTCTCTCAAGTGCCCTCCTCTTGGACATTTGTACTGCACGTTAAGAACATCAGGAATTCCAACCCTTGGAACAACCATAAGTACTCGGAAGGTTTGCCCATTTTCGCTTTTCCATACTCGATGCAAGCAGCCATACACTAACTTTAAACTGCTCCGTTCTGCCCAATATGATTCTGTGACTGGCCTTCCTGTAGTTATTTCTCCAATCGTTGTACATTGGTTCAACTCCACCTTAAGTAATGCACCTTCCAATTCTGGATCTTCTTGCACAGAGTCATCCGTTTCAGGTTCAATTTTATGCTGATCTTCCACCTGTGATGGTATACACGCTTCCTGCTCTTCCAACTGTAAGGACACTTGTGCTGGTATCCAAGCTTTTTGCTCTTCTAACTGTGAGGAACCTTTTATTGGTTCACACGCTTCTTTCTCTTCCAACTGTGGGAACACCTGCCCAGACATACGCAGTTCCAGCTCTTTCGACTGTGAGGACCCTTGTACTGGTACACACGCTTCCTCCTCTTCCGACTGTGAGGACACCTGCGCTGGCATACGCCCGTTCAGTTCTTCCGACTTCGAAGACACTTTTGCTGGTATACAAGCTTCTTACTCTTCATACTGTGAAGATCCTGCTTCACATGCTTCCTCCTCTTCCAACTGTGAGGATACCTGCGCTGACATATGCACGTCGAGCTCTTTCGGTGCTGACAACTGTGCTGAAAAACGTGCATGTTGCGCTGCGAATAGCTCTTCCAAATGCGTTGACCATCGCGTTTCTAACTGCGTTTACATCTGAGACATATGTGTATCCTACTCTTTAAATTGTGTCGACATTTGCGTTGACATCTGAGACATATGTGTATCCTGCTCTTTAAATTGTGTCGATATTTGCGTCCCCATCTGCGATATTGCGGAAAAAAGCATGTTCATGTCCACCATCTTTGAAGAGCATTGAGCCTCTTCCTTTGCTTCTATCTTTGTCGTCTCTTCTTCTAATTCCATGTGAAAGACATATTCCTCAACATTAATGTTTTCCGCCTCCATGGCCTCTCTCAACCGTGATTGTAATTCAGTTTTTAATCCATTTGTCGCCAAACCACGTTGTTCCAGCTCCTTTTTCAGTTGTGGAATCTTCAGATCGTTAAACTTGGCCATTTTTAAATAATTATCTCCTTGGGAATTTATTTGACAATCCCACTTCTGACACCAATTGTAACGGATTTCTCGATAAATCGTCTACCTGTAACTCACTCTTGAGTTCGATCACTGGATTGTTAAATAAAAGTCCCAATTTAATGGCTACACACTTATCTTTATTTTTAATTCCAACAACTTAACACTTATTGCTCGTTATTCGAGCTTACAACTTCTTGCTTATAGCTTGATTGCTCTTATCACGACGACACTCTAACTAGAACTGTGTTTGCTGCACAATCCGGCAGCCCTTATATAGTAAATCTGTAACAAAACATTGCTTCTAGAACATTCTGGCAACTACGAATTCGGTAACTAGTTGCTTGTGGCAGTTTATCGTTCATTCGATTTTGTTCTATCATCTATATTCGTCACAATATAAAAGTACTATATGCAGTGTGCTTAGAATATATAGAAGTAATTAATGATTTCATATATGAATGGCAATTTTATACAAATTTTATAATTTAATGCCATAAATAGTGCATAATATGAAAAAAATTAAAATAATATTTCAAATCGCTAAGAGGTCCATGTTGCCAATTCTCCTTTCTGAAGGGAACACCAGACAAATTTTTCAATTTCTGATTTTTAGCAAATGTTGTGAGGAAGCAGCTTGTGGGCAACATACAAATGCGAGAGGGATGGTAGAATTTTCAGTGATACAAATTGTAAAATTGAAATTTTGCTGATTCTTCAATTTTACTGAAGACATTCAAATTCAATTTCATTCATTTTTATTTTCGCGCATTTGCGGTAGGACTTCTATATGAAAACCAAATGTGGTTTACCAGGCGCACAGAAAAAATAGCGCGGCGCAGAGTTATGAACGAACGCACTTTGCTATGAAGCAGCGCACGTTCCTTATGAATGAATTTGTTGTCGTTGTAATATGAAATACTTAGAAAATAAGCCGCGAGTTCGCTTGAATATTATTGGCCGATGATGGCGTCTACGTTTTTTGTCACTTGCGCGAATGTTTGATTTTTTGCGAAAGATATATTGAGGGACATACATATGCAAATATATTTGGCATGCGAATGAAAGAAGGCAATTTCAAGATTATTCATATATGGACATATGAACATTTGAAGCAAGTAAACAATAATAGCTGTTTGAGTTCACAGATTAGACAAATTTGCTCTGATATCGTCTGTGGTGCTGCTTGTATAGCAGACTTTTTTATTGCAACGTGAAATATTTTGCCAAAGTTCAAATCCTATCAGATATTTTTTTATACTCTTTTTTATTTCTATAACCCTTTTTTATTAAATGATATTTGAATTCTAATTTCATTATTATTTCCCTCATTATTTACATTTTCTTTTCATAAGTCAATTATTCTCCATTTTATTACTTTAATTTTTGTTTATGCGCATATCAAAGAACATTTCTGCATATGTATGTATATACATTTTGCTTATAGAGTGGTGTAGTTCGTTGCGTAAATTGACAGGTGTGGTGAAATTTTATTTTCGAACTTGCGCGTTTTCGATGTTCCTTCATCGTAATTAACATTTGCCTTTTCTATTCATTTACATTCTCTGATACTATGTAGCTGCCATACAAGCTGACCGGTAAAAATCAAATTCTTGCATTTTTTCGTCGGTTTGGCTTCAATAACGTTGCTCTTCCTCAAGTTTTTATTAGAAATCATCTAAATTGTAATAGTTCTAGTACAAAATCATTACAAGTTGTTGGAGCATGGTTAGGGCAAAATTGATCCTCTTCCAGGTGGCTTATGAGCATAAAGAAAATGACAAGACCTATTGCATTTTAGAATTATGTCATTATTATTATTGTATTTAAAATTCAACAACTGTATTAATTTTTCAAACAATGTAACGAAATGTGCAACAATGACTTACACTTTCTTACAAAATATTATAACTATTCCTTTCTTCTTCTTCTTCGGGTACGCATTCATGTACGTATGTCGAACATTTGAATATTTCTGTTTAACATTTTAGATTTCTTTACTTTGTTTTGCGTTTTGTTATAATTACGTAAGTATATAATTAATGTATATACTATACGTTAACCGTTATTTATTTATATTGTATGCATGTATGTATGTAGTTAATAATTATTGAATGTAATGATAAGTAATTAAAGAATAATTGAACACAACAATTTATATTATTACAATTTCCTAATATATGTATATGTATACATTTGTATATATGCATGTATGTATGTACTTGTAAAAAATATGCATGTATTTGTGTGTATATGAGTGTGTGCTTAGTGTGTATGTATGTATGTTGATGGTGCGAAAAACATAAACAAGTTTAACATTATTTGTTCGTGATATTTGTACATTGCACATAATTACCACATACTACATATGCAATGCGTGCAACAAATACAACAAATGGATTTAATTATCAAAAAATCGAAATCAAATCTAAATAAAACATACATAAGGTACATATGGATGCTTGTGTGCAGGTGTGTGTACGTCATGTTGACGATTTGAAGAGGAAAGCAAGTTCGCATATTTTAGGTTCAACGAGTGGCGAGTACCGGAAAACGACTCCGGCTGCGCCGTTGCGTTGACGTCGTGGACTGTGGGTCCGCAGCGCAAAGCAATGAACCCTTGGACGGATGTAATGCCAAACTTGACTCATAATAACTACATTCTAACGGCATCCCGTTGCATTAAATGTTAATTGTATTATTTTCTTTAACTTTCGTTTATGTGATTCTATTCTTCTATTTTAAATTTTTTTGTTTTTGCTTTCGCTTTTATATGCATCTGGTTCAAGGTGTTTAAATTGTAACATTCCAATACATCCTATATATACACCGTGTTCTGAATCGTTTGCATAGTATATGTTTGTATGAATTTATAATTTTCAAGTTTATATGTGTGTATGTGTGTGTTATTATTGCCGTTCGCCTAGTTAAATTGTACGTCTGCTATTGATATTTTCTAATAATAATATATAATCAGTTGTAATACATAATATGTTATATCTTTTATATATAATCTTGTTTGTTTTGTTAAACTCTGAAAACATAACAATTTAAAGCCTTTCTCTAAGGCCATTCAATGGTGCAATATTGCTAATAAAATACCTAAGATTACCCGCTCACAATTTACGAATTTGCCTATACGATTTAATAATATTTTAATAATTATTGCAAGTTTCTTCATTTGTTATATATAGTATATATTTTTTTGATTCTTTTTTTACATTTTATACCCGATTTCTAAGTGTATAGGTTTCTGTGTGAATTTGGTTAACAGTGGAGATTCCTATATCCAACTAATGTATTGCTCTTTGTTCATGTGTGTGTGCATGTGCAGGTGTTGGATGTGAAATTATCATCATTTGGCTTAAATCGTCAGTGGTGACAGTTCCATAAGCTCAGTGGCTGCAGGAACTTCTGATTCTTTAAGCAAAACCTAACCTAACTTTTTCTGCATGCGTAAAACTGTATCTGCCTAGTTTGGGTTAAGCTGCTTCAACCAATTGATAAAAAGCTGCTTGAAAGCACATACAGCTTTGTTTGAATAAGAGTTTAGCTTGGAAATATGTTGCATTGTGTAAATGAATACTTACAAGCTAAGAATTTACTCGCAATGTTTCATAAACATTTTTTTGCTTTTCTTAAGATTAGATAACGGTTTGTTCAACAAAATATTTATTTTTGACAAAAGCGGCTTTCCCAAACTACTTCAGCTACGCTTTTGTCTTTATGCACGCACATATATGTATATATTTTGGCGTATGTATTTGTATGTGTGTATGTATGTATTTTGGGTATTTGTGTACTTAATCAAAGAGGAAGGTAGGTATCTACGTAGCTTCGAATATAAAAATATTGCTCATTTTGATTTGTTGACTTTTAGCTCAATTGGTCTAATTACAGTTAATTGCTGTAAATGTTGTTTCAAAAGTTTTAACGCGAAGTATGTGCGTGTCTAAAATGAGATTTGGCTGAAAATCAAACAATTTTTCACACAAAATGTCTTCATTATTAACGTTATCACTAAGATCACTGTGGCAGTTCTTAAAGCGGTTTCCGCTCCAGGTTTTGGTTGATTCTTCATAAGCATTTTTAATAAAATATAAATAGTTCAAATAAATCCACCAGTCCCTAACTGATAATTTGCACCACGTCGAACATTTTTTTGTTTTAAAAAGTTACTATTTCTAAATATGCAAGTGTTAGATTAATAACATTGTCCTGAATTAAGTATTTCTATGTTTGACGATCATGGCGTATGAGTAACTTATTTGCAATCGTCATTTTTGAGGAGACACTTTGCTCAGAAAAACAAACTAGTAGAGTAGAAGCTCTGGAAAAGTACACATAAATGCAAGTAAACTAGCTATATACTATTATGAATACGAAAAGAAATTTTTAATTGATACTCAAATGGAATATACATTTTACTTGAGCACTAACATCTTTTGAAAATCTCTTAATGGGGTGATGAAGTTCGTAAGTTCTTGTTACCGAGATGTGTTAACGACCATTTCGGCTATGTAGTGCTATTAGGAATATGACAATTGATGATTTCAGTAATCTTTTTCAACGATAAATGCAATAGTTTGCGAAAAGCAAAAATGTTTTTACAAAATATATAACCAAAAATACACTTTAAGCGCGACTTTTAAAAAACAGTTACTATTGAAAATTTATACCTTAGCAATAACACTTCAACAGTTTTGAATTTTTTCTTCAGACAGTCTTTATAGGGCGCAACGCTCATTTCACACATACTTGCACATTAAATCGTTTGATTTTGGCCACTCGACATGAATCTTTTGATTTTTTGAGATATCGGTTGCACATTTTACGTGAATTCACCAAAATTGCTATTGCGTTTTTATGCCAAACAAATATTTCAAAATTAATTATTATTAATTAAATAACTACCATATAGTTCGTCGCTATTTCAATTAGGTTTGTTTTACAAACGAGTATATGCCACTACATACTAATTATGTGTATAATTTTCGATTACTTACAACTAATATATGTTTTATAACAATTAATTTAAAATTACATACATACGTTGAAGGTACATTGCAAAATTTGACCAGCACTAATAGTTAAATTATTTAGTGACTCCTCGCAAGCAAACGAAAATTTTTCATAGCACGCCAATACAACAACACTGCATGTATATTTATGGTTATTCGATTGACTGATTTTATCAGAACTCTACGATTTCCCTGTGACCGCACACGTGCTAAGAAAGATTTCCCTCAGCCTATCAAAAGCTACGATTGGCTTTATTTAATGCCCTTCTCTAATTTCCTTAATATACAATTTATGTATTTAATAACATCATTTGTTTAATTTTGAGGCGGATAAAGCTCTAAATGCATTTCTAAAAAATCGTTTGCCTATTGAAGGTGTCATGTGTTTTGGTTTTTTCTCTATCTTCACCGCTTCTAATCGATACATTCATCTGCATTCACAGTATTTTCTTGATATAATTGCTTCTACGCGTGTGCAAACGATTTGCTTTGACGAATACTCGTCATTATCTAACTTACTCATTTGTATTTAATTAAGAAAATTGTACGTTAAATATGATAATTTGCATAAGTATTTCGGTAAATGTACTATTTTATATTTTTGATTTGTTCTTGCTTTCAGTTACAATCGACTATCACACACTTTTGCATCTCGTGACTTCAGTTTCCGCTTCTACTATGCTTACGGCTCCTGCCTGTTGCAGCCACTGTTATACAGCGAACCACTTGCTTGATTTTCTAAAAAAAAGACTCACTAAACTTTCTTATATATTTACACCTACATACTTTTGGAGCCTTCGCCATTAATATTGCCTCTAGCTGTAGGTTATTTGTCTCACTATAAAAAGCTCGTTCAACAAGCCCTTCATTGCCAAATATTGACAACAATTCTCCATTTTTTGAATGCCTCCGTGCTTGTAGTTATCTACTTTTGATTGTTGATATTGGCCGCGGTTGTAAGGCTAATTGGTTGCTATTGGTGGCTTTTGCTCAACAAATGAGAATTGAATTCATAGACGTTGTTGCACTGTTCGCCGCAAATGTTGCACTTCCACGGATTACTCTCGCAGTGACAGCCCTTGTGCAGGAAGTACAGTGTTTCGTCTGGAAACTCGATGCCACAGAATAAACATGTGAGTATTTGCTTGCGACTTAGCAGGTTTGGTTCGGTCTCTTGGCCGGTTGAGGTGATCGTACCATTGCATATGGGAGTGGAGTTGCAGGAAGAGGTGTTGCTTGTGGTGCCGGTAATGCTGCCTGTTTGCACGACATTGTTGTTGTCCAAAACAGCTGCATTGCGGGTGATGCGATTATTGGCTTTGGCGCAAATGCGTCGTTTGAGGTCCTCTCTTAACAAGGACTTCAGTGGGGATACCTGCAATCCATCAAGATATATAAAAAATACTCCCAAGCATAGGCATGCGTATAATTTGATAAAAAGATGAATAATTGAAGATTGCACTGTGACCTCTGCACCGTGTCTCGATTAGCACCCCCCAGCACTATAATAAATTCTCCAATTGCTTTCCTTACTTGAATTTGAAGATCCGAAAAATTTACTTCTTCCCTAGAGAGTTGTATTATTTACTAAACTTTGTAAGTTATATTTTCTTCACTTTCTTCTTTACAGAAATCCTTATTACTGATAATGAGATCCCACTGTGCAGAAACACTCTGGTCCAGTCTGCCTAATGGTCGCTACTGAGCGAGCTTAGTCACCTGGTTCATTTCTGGTGATGGCTCTGTGTTGCTGTACCTATATTAGGTGGGGCTGTCTGCTTATTATGACTATACGGTGCTATACAAGGCACCGACTAATTTTGAATACCCACGTATGAAAGATGCTAAGGGACCTGTCCCTTGACATGCAGATCCTAGTTCAAGAAAAAGTTCTTTCCTAGGTCGGTATATCTGATTTTGATGGTTAGTCAGGATTTTAGTGTTCAGATATTTCTCAAAAGAGTCTTGATCCTATTGGCTTATACCAAAATAGTAACCTTTTTTGAGGTACTTCGTATATATGTATAATCTACGTAGTTTCTAATGGATATTTAGATATTTTCAAGCATAACAAAACAAAAATTCAGGTAAGTAGTTTGGTTAAGTTGAGCTTTCGAAAATTCCAGTCCAACTAGAAATGTTCGCCCTTAAGGATGGATTAGGTATCGATTGAAAAGTCAGATGATTTTGACATAAAAAACTTGAAAACAGACCTTAATTAACGAAGTTAATCTGCCGTTCGGAGACGAGAATTCCGATTCACTACAGTCACCGCCATTCATTTGTTCGCATTGTGTGGTTGGGCATTTGGTGCCGCTCTTATTAGCATCCGTTGATAAATCCTCCCCTACTGGTTCCTACATTAGAGCAATAATAACCAAAAACAAACAAAAAACAAACAAAAATGGGGAGATATATACATAGATATGTATGTTTATGTGAACAAAATGAAAAAGGTTATACAATTTGTGCATTACACTCGCCTGCTTGATTGGTATCAAACTGATGGATGGTGTGATGTGGTTCTCGTGGTGATGGGTTTTTGGGGAAGGGCAAGCATTCAACTGCACACCGACATGACTGGTGCTTGAAGGCAACGATTTGGTATTACAATCGATCGGATGTTCTTGAGGTGGTGGTGGCGCTGGTGACTTATTTCCAACGACTGCATCCCGCTCGCCTCGACCGCTGCTCTTCGTCTCCATCAGTTCCACTCCGGTTGCGGTATTGGCGTTCCCCTGCAAATCAAATGCACATAAAAACGCCGCATCAGTGGATTTCCCCAATTTGCAATTTAGCAACGCATTCCATGTTACATTGAACAAATCGGTTCCATTGTCGGACAGGGTTGAAATTTCCACATGCGGCGTCAAAAAGTGCATGGGCGGTGTGGCATTCTCCAGAGAGCGCATCGACTCGCCACTATCGCTCTGATGGGTCGTCGCCATGCTCGAGTTGGCATTCTGGCTTGCCGCAGCAGCAGCTGCAGCCACAGCATTCAGGCCCGGTACGAAACTGGCAGCGGCTGCGGCAGCTGCTACTTGTGATGCTTGTGACTCCAAGGCGAGCAGTAATGATGAGGAACCACCCGGTCCCGGATTATCAAGGTCTATACCATGTCTAAAAAACACATTGGATTTAAAAATAACTTTATTTCTTCAATTCTGCGAAGCAACATATCCACATATATATGTACGTTGGTAAACCAGCTTATGGCTCACCTGTTGAAAAAGTGAATCCTTAGCGATTTCATAGAACCTGCTCTATAGCTGCACAATGGACAGGTTTTAACGAGGTCGTGTTGGCCGACATGCTCGTTTTGGAAATGAGCGCGCATAGCGATTTGGCGCTGGAAGCCACGGTTACATATGGGACAGTGGTATGGAAGAGTTTTCGTGTGCGTTGTAAAGTGTTCCGCCAAATGGTCTTTGCGGAAAAATCTATAAGCAAAAATTATATAATGTCACTCTGTATGGTCAGTTCGTAGAGTTGGTAGTAAGTACAAACCTCTTTTGACAGACACGGCATTCGTAAGGCTTGACACCAGTGTGGCGCATCTTATGCCGTCTCATATTTGCGCCATTTGAGAATTTCATATTGCAAACATCACATTCAAAAACTTTACGGGATGAAGACGACGAAGACGATGATGCAGTTGGACTGCTGGCATTGCCATTCGTTGTGACCACCGACATATTTGTGGGAACATTATTTGCCGTTGCCGTATCCGGTACCAATTTGGTGACATCGTTGCTGTTGCCAGCATTTTGGTCTGCATGGGGCATCACCGAACCGACTACACTTAGATTCTCCAATTCAGGTTCTTCGGTTTTGAGGCGCGCATGATTAGACAAACACTGGACGACATGTAATAGTAGCGATGCCCTAGAAGTAGTCTCGAAATGGTCGCAACGTTCACAACGAAATGTCGCCATAGCGGGCGGATTCGGCGTGCTTGTGGATGTGGTGTAATTCGTTGGTGGTGTACTATTTGCGCGTGCCGTACTATCCAAGGCCACTGGCTGTTCATCCGCGCTGCATTCCTTCAAGCTACGTAGCGCATGAGTATGCTTGACTAACGCACTGTGTTGCATCAAACTACCGGGTGTCATGTCAATTATCCCGCTGTCCTTTAATGTCATCTCCATACCGGCGGCTGCACTTATAGTTTCAGCCATTTATCTACAAGAAACCGCAAGAAAAGTTGTAGTAATCGATTTTTTTACCTAGTCCTGTGCTCATTAAAAATCATTTTAAATTAACCCTGGAGATTATACAGATGTATCTAATTTATACATAATTTCGAGAATTCATGCTTAGCATTTTACTGATTTATTAAGATACGTAAAAGCTTAAGACCATGTTATGAAATTTGTAAACAGAGATCTCGAGAAAATATAGTTATACTATTATATTATATATGTTACTGTGACTGCTTCTTATAACAAATATGATAATTATAGTGTCGGTAAGATCTCTACAGTGAGTCGAATTTCTTAAGTTATTCGCAAATACTTTCGATTAACCTCTAGCTAACACCGAAGCACCGAAAAAGCTCAGCTGATTTGTCTTTTTCTTCCTGTTTTTACAAATAAGGACATAAGTACATCTTGTTAACTTTTCTGCGTTTGTTTTTCCTTGGCAAAGAATTTCACCTTACACCCTTGATTTAAATTTATGGCTAGCGACGATTTCTTTCTTAGTGATCTTAACTGCAATTGGTTTAAACACTCAATTTGTTTCTTCGGAGGTAATATCTTACTGATTTTTTAAAGGTAAAGCAATTTCCTCATTAAGTTGAGCACACGCATAGCACTGAGCGTAAGGCCTTGAGGGGATTAGCTATTAAGACAGTCATTTGCTTTCATTCCAGCGTTCAGTTAAATTACAGAGATGAATAAAAGTGCATAAGCAGCATAAAATATTCAAACTAAAATAAATAAACCTCTAATTTTACGAATATAAATACGTAGGAGAAACAATCTTTAGCGTTTGATTCAAGGTTGAATACCGTCCATCTTCAAATATGCAGACGTTTGTTGAGAGTGAATGGTTTTTGGTTTGATATTAGAGGCACTTACATTAAGAAAACAGGTTTGAATGAAAGAAACCATAAACTAAAGAGGCACATACTTATGCATGTCTATATGTATGCCTACAGGTACGGTTGTGTATAAATACGCTTGACCAAACATTAATATTTGTCCCTACGATACTTTAGAGGTCATCCGGTTAATCCAATTTGAATATTCACACAAACCAAACAATACACAAATGCACACATATAAATAGTATACCATGTGTATGTATGTATGTCGTATAAATAAGATTGACCTTCACGAACTGTATCTCAAACTCCGATAGAAATTTCAAGTTTTCAATTAATTAGTAAATGTTTATGTTTTTTTAATAACAATATTTATAAAATGTTTTTTTATTTTTAGAAAGACAAGAAGTCTTCATTGTTTTCTAAAACTTGCCCAGAAGTACTCATGGAATATATGCTCCAGGTATTGAAAAACCTTAAATGGTGAATTTCGACCGAAATTTATTGGCTTATTTACTTATTATCTTTTTGTTATCAGAGGTAGCTACTTATAGTATTTTCGTAATATATTATAATTATAACAAGCATAAAGCTACTATATGACTTAATTTAGTCCTGATTTTTCGTAAATTTAACGCAATCGAGAGTTAAACATTCATTAAATAACAAATACCATTAAAAATAACGGTAAATATTGAAGCACTTTTCTTAACAATTCCTCGGAAATAAGTTTACAACTTGTGTGTTTGGATAGCCTAAAAGGTCTATTTTAAACTAAACGACTTGAGGAAGTTCTGAACACTTAATCTTGCTGATTCACTACAAAACTTATTGAAAAGAATTATCAGGAAGTAATATCATTAGGTTACAATTAAAAAATAATAATAAAAAAAAAAGGTAGCTTCGGCTGCCCCAATGCTATAATACCGTTCACAGTTGCACTTCTTGCAGCATAAAAATATATAAAGAGATCTTTATCTTGATTTTAACCGGCCAGTTCGTATGGCAACTATTGCTACAGTGGTCCGATCTGAGCACTTCCTAAGAAGATTGTGCCGTTGCCTTGGATAATAATTTATGCTAAATGTCGTGAAGATATCTAGCCAAATAAAAAAGTTTTTCATATAAGGACATATATTTGATTGTTCAGTTTGTATGGCAGCTATATGCTATAGTGATCCGATATCGGCGGATCTGAAAAATTAACAGCTTTTTTGGGGAGAAAATAACGTATGCAAACGTAGGCCAAATCGACTCAGCTCGTCATGCTGGTCATTTATAAGTATATATATTTTATATTGTCTCCGACGTTTCCTTCAGGGTGTAACAAACTTCGTAGTGAACTTAATATTACCCTGTGCAGGGTATAAAAAAAAAAAAACAATTTCTGATCCCAATTTGCAAAATAAATATCTACGAGTTTAAATTATTACAAAATCGATTCAAGTTTTTGTATACGCATATTAATAAATTTCTCAGCATTTTATCAAGCATACATACGCATTTGTATTAACATAACACATACACATAAGGTATATGGTATACCGCTTGTTTTCGAATAACCCTACAGTATTTTCTAGTTGGCCTATTTTAACGTTGGTTATAAAACAAAAATGTATTAAAGCATAAGCGCATAAGCACATAAGCACGTATAAAGAAATGCACGTCAATAGTAAATATGTACTAGTATATTTTAATGCTCCTTAGTTGCATTACAACCAAGTCATTAGGTCAAGTTTTGAAACCAAACTAGCTCACATCCCAAATTCATAAATATCTCGCTCAGAAGGTAAAGCTACACAGATTCATACAGGCACTATACAAACATACATACATAGTGAATAGTTTACCCACATTACCTACATACACACATATGTATATATATATATATATATATACTTATGTGTGTATATATGTATGTAAGTAAACAGATACACGTTGAATAGGCATGAGAGAGCGCATTTTGTTTTCTATTTTCTGCTCTTTGCCACTTTGAAGTTATTCATGTCAGTATGTCAGTGACATATCTGTATAACATTTTTTATGTTGGATTATGTTGAACAAAAGCCGGGCGACTAACAAGTAAACCTACCAACCAAGAAAATATGTTATATGGAAAGTGGATACAGAACCACGTACACATGCATAAACATCGCTCACCTAGACGCTTTGTTACATTTTAAATTAAGTCAAAATAAAGCTTCAATGTAATGAAATTATGCAGAACTTCTGGAATGGCGACTTTCGCCTAAAATGACAGCCTGAATTTACTAACCTCAGTTAATATTCATGAGTCCATAAAAACTGTTCATTTAAGTCAAATCGCTCAGTTGGAACGAATATACCCTATATTCCATATTTATCAATTATAAATCTTTTATTTTTTGCATATTTGAATATTTTTAATTTTCAACAGAGAAAATCTGACTCGAAATATTTAATGTCAAATTAAAACTGGTAATTTACACGCTGAGCAGGTCCAAAGCAATTTCCAGTGTATATCAGATTTCATGTCGGCCTTCAAGTGATGTGATCAAATATTTTTCATTTCAATCCATTCCATCAACTTTATGGAATGGAAACTGTGCTTCTTTGAGTAAAGAAATATTTTGATGTTATATTAAAGCTAAGTTTACTTTTACACTAAACAGAGGATTTTTCTTCGTTTTGGGCAAGCTGCCCCTATATGTCAAAATATTTTCAAACATATAAGTTTGGATAATTCTCACTTCATCATTCCTTTCAGAGAAGTCTCTTTCTATATGCTCTAAGAAGCAACAATGTTCACACGGCCTTACTTTTTAGCAGGTGATTAACTGACCTTTTCCAATATAGGACAAGCATGGATAATTCTCACTTCATCATTCCTTTCAGAGAAGTCTCTCTCTATATGCTCTAAGAAGCAACAATGTCCACACGGCCTTATTTTTTAGCAGGTGATTAACTGACCTTTTCCAATATAGGACAAGCATATTCTCAATTTAAGGTCTTTGCGGATATTTTCTACGATTTGCAACTACCGGGAAGATCCCAACATGAAAGATAGATCGTTGTACTCTTCTAACGTCGTGAACCAAGCACCAAACTAGCCACAATATACATACTTATATCTATGTGTAGGACACTGAGGGAGGTCAAACATGATAACATAACATATTAATTTTTTCTCAGAAATTTCTTTGCGATATAACCGTGAAATAGTTTATAGTTCTTATCTAAAATGAACCACGGTATTATTTATCATATAGGTACTACTTATGTATGCATAATTTGGATGCATCCTTTTAGGGTGGATTGATTAACGGTACTGGTTTACATTTTAGGGAAAGTAAAAAAATTAAATTACTTGGGATTGGGCAGCCGCCAAGATCTACTTTCCTCAAGCTATTTTACAAGAGCAAATAACAGTTAACTACATAGCGCACGTGCGAGAGTTACACCCAACTTTACATTCAAAAGAGGAGTTGTACATCTAAATGTGAGTGTGTGTTAGCGTGACACTATCAGAACTTGACATAAATTCTGAAGTTTCTGTTATTTAAAGTGGGTGACATTGTTCCCGCTGCTCATTGACAACATGCCACACAAACGACTTCTCGCACACACACACACCAGGCAGTTCAACACAGTCCAACGCATGCGGCAAACAGAAGTCAAATGAGAAATTGTTTGTTCGGCGAAAATGAGCGATGAAAACTAATAACAACAATGCATATATGTTTGTATGTAAATACGAATTAATGGTTACTGAGAATCAGTTATAAATGTAACATAAACGCACATACGGGGATTGTGCTTTTCGCGCCATACTCCCAAGTTAGAAAGTGGAACAGGAATTTCTCTCATTAAGGTATATCAGCGAAATGCTCGCCACCGGCAACGATCAACAGACCGAAAGCAATATACGCTCGGCTATGTAAGCCGCATATGTAGCGGCGCGTTGTTCCAAATGCGAAGCGATGATTTCATTTATGTAGGCGCTGCAGCAGCGCATTGCGAAACACTTGCCATGGCCAACGGCAAGAGCAAGTGGAGCAAAAATAGTTCACCATAATACACATGTGGGACAGTGCCACAGCGCTGGCATTAACCAGAGTAACAACAATAGCAACAAAAATGACCGACAGACAGACCGCAGTCGAAAGCCCACATCAAGCCAAACCAACCAGCCATTTAGCAAGCGAGCCCGCTAGTCTGCGAGACGACAAACTGCTTGGCTAGCCCGTTTGGCTACGTCGGCTCACACATTGCTATATTTGCCGTTACAACTTCCACTATCATTCGCAACTCTGTTTATTTCGGCACATTTAGCTTAACGGAGGGCTCTGTCACTCTGGCACCGCCAACACTCACATTACCCAAAAAAAACTTAGGCACAAAGTATCGTGGCTACTTGCTTCACTTTTGTCTAATTTGCGCTGCTCGCTGTCGTTTTGACCTATTGTAGTAGGTATTATAGTTATTTTTATTAATTTCATTGTATTTTGCGTTTTTTTTTCATTATTTTTGTTCTAGCATTGGGCAGGCAGGTTTATTACACGGGTGAACCCAAGCTCATTGAACTAATTTCTGTTCCACTCGTAGTGAAACACTTAGATAAACACTGACCCCATTGGGCAATAATTGCTTAGCAATGAACGATGAACGTAAACGTATATTGCTTTAAAATCGTTCACTTCACTTCTTTCGCTCTGGTTTGCTGTAGTTCTGTTCTTCTGCGATTTGTAAATAATGAATTTCTAATAAATTGATTTAAACTGTTTGCTGTTTTCGCTTTAAAGTGTATTTCACTCTTTTAGAGGCCACAATGTTCGTGGAATTCAAAGCACCGCGTGTGCTCAATCTTGTCAACGTACGGCAAAAGTGCTCTGCCAGCGGAACAACGTGCTTTGCCAGCGAGAAAGTCTCTCCGCCGCCTCTCGTCAACAGCATAAGCTCCCAGCGTTCGTTAGTGCTTGCGCTCGAAAGCAGAGCATATTGTTTTGTTGACCTAATTTTCCTCTCGCTTGTTACAGTCGTGTGCCCACTTTGACTTTTTATTATCTTTGTATTTTACATTACTAATTTTTACTCATTTCGTTAAGTTTTCTTGGCATTGTTCTCCTCACGCCATGGTAACTAGTTCTCTGACAGACTGGCTGGCAAATGGTGACTTGACCGTCTCGTCGGCCGACTGTTCGACCATTGCAGTGGCTGGCCGTTGCGCTTATATTTCGTCAGTATTCAGTTGTATCGAAGTAGTGGAGCGACGAGTAAATGTTAGTTTGCGGCCGTGATGCTTTGTAGTTATGAACTAGAAAACCAGCTGCAGCAGCACCAACAACTGCGGTAAGTCGTTACACAGCACTGCACATGTGTATTTACTGTGTACATACATACGTATAGACGCACATGGACACGGTTGCTCCCATACAAATGTGTAACTAAGTGGTCGTACTTAAGCAAAGCTCATTTTCAAGCGAAGAACTGCTAGAAGCCGATTTGAGATATAAACTGGAGTTGCGCTATTGTTGGCTCACTTGCAGTTCACACAAACACCTAATTGTGTCAAGTATAAACATAATAATTATTTAAGTACATTTTTGACGTTGCCAGGCTGTAGGAACACATTGGCACAGAGCATATGGCTACCGTCATTACATCGTCATCGCCATTGCTTCCGTGGCGGCGACCGGATTCTTACAATTTCACCTAATGGTGAGAATAGAATTCTCGCCTCACACCCCCAAACCGCTGTAATTTTGCAAACGGATTATATGTCACAAAATTGTTGATATACTTATGTACATATGTATGTATGTATGTGCGAATGCCGAAAACATACAAATTCGTAGGCTTATTTATGTCCGTTTGATTTATATACATGTATGTGCATATCATATGTACATATGTACGCACATCTAATCTTAATAAAAAAAGCCTATGCTCGCCATGCACCCAACCTAGTTTCCACTATTTGTTCTACTTTTGTTTCGTTGCAGCGAAACTTAGCAACAATTTACCTCACATAAAACTGATGTCAGGCCAGAAGAAGTTTGCAATTTTTCATTACTTGGATGTTGATTGTACTTGTTGTGTCTTCAGCGATTATTTTCATAACTTTATTGCACAATCCACAAAATAATCCATGCACTCATGTACTCGAAACTGCGTATGTGTGTATATTTCTACGCCACCGCGTTCTTCACAGATGCGCTTATGCGTGCGACAAACAACCGAATCGACGATGGAACGAATGCGTTCGATGAACGACTAGAAGCGATGGCGTTTTCGGTGAACGCAGGTACGCGTGTATCGCGTCTTCGATTCTAATGTTTTGCTTTTCGGCACAACACAACACATAGACTGAATCCAAAGTATCGCACAATGCAAGTACACAGGCAGTAGTGTGTCAGGGAATACCACTTTAGACGAAAGCGACGCAGCGACGCCGGCAGCGCGAACATCAGTGTCAGCTGCGCCATAACTAAAGCTGCAGGCGGTAATCATCTCCAAAGCTAAACGCTCCCAGTTTATATACGTAGTCAGCACTCAGCGAGCTACTCGTGCACAACTCGCCAGTGCGCTCCACAGCAATTGCCATGCTCTCGCTCTTTTGGGCTGTGTTGTAACAGAGAGCGATGCGACCGATGTGTGGTAATCGTAAACTGAGTGAAAACGCCAACGCGCCAATGTTTGAAGCGAGACGACGCACGATTCAAAATTAGGTCAACAGGTTTGGAGTGGGCCTTCTCATGTGCTGTTTGATTATACCGCAGCTCCCCCCGCGCCTGACACGACATTCGAAGCACTTGCTGTTTATTTTGCGATTGTATGGCGCTCACCGCACGAGCAGCGAGCTGAGAGCGCACCTTCATGCTCATCCAATTTGCGTCCCAATGCTCTGTAGCACACCTCTTTCTGTTGTTCTTCCTAATCGTTCCGCACTCATTCGGTTGCGCGGGCAAACACCGTAAGTCGGCCAAACCACCGACGCAATGCATTTATTGCACCACCGCCACAGGCAACTCAATTTTCCACTCGCTGCTCGCTCATCGTATTGTTTGGTTAGTTGTTGTTAGACTAACGGACTTGGTTGTTGTTGTTAGTTTAACGCTTGCTGTTTTAGGCTAAAGTAGTGAAACAGCTTTAATAACAATTCCGATACTGATTGTGCTTTACGGTGTTGGTTCGCAGTTACGGCAGCAGGTACTTAGGAACAGTGAAGCCTTGTTGTTGTTGCCGTTGACGCTGTCGCTGTCACTTCCACCATTGCAACCGTCTCAGCCACTACTCCAATGCAGCACGCAACTGGTATACCTGTATAATCACGGGCCTAGAAGCCGTCTGAAACAAGCGCACATACACAGGAACCAGCTATGAATAAGGTGTCAGAATGCTACTTGTACACCTACACACCCACATGCATAAACCCATATGAACGAATGCGTATCTTGGCGAGCATCTGTTCCAAATGTGCAGACAAGCGTTTGCAGCGCGGTGCAATATCTTAACAGGTATATTTTGTATAGCATAACAAGAAAAAATCGTTAAATTCGGTTACACCGAAGCTATTAAGCCCTTCACAAATTCAAAAGATTCCTTACATGAACTATTGAAAAACTTCTTCAAAGATTGTACCAATGCTTTGGACAATAACCCATGTTAAATTTCGTGAAGATATCACGTCAAATAAAAAAGTTTTCCATACAATGACTTAATTCCGATCGTTCAGTTTGTATGGCAGTTATATGCCGATTCCGACAAATAGCAACTTTTTTTTAAGAAAAGGACGTGTGCATGATTTCAGATCGATATCTCAAAAACTGAGGGACTAGTTCGAGTATATACAGACAGACGGCCATGACTAAATCGACTCAGTTCGTCATGCTGATCATTTACATATGTACTATGTATATTATGGGGTATCCAACGCTTCCTTCTGGATATTACAAACTTCGTTGCAAACTTAATATCCCTATTCAGGGTATAAAATTCTGCCGAAAATAGAAGGCATGGTTGTTTTTCTCACAAATGGTATCCATGCTTTATCCAATCGGTTCACGCAGGCAATCGAAAAAATAAACCTTCAAAGGGAACATTAACGAATAATTATATAATCTCAAAAGTTCATCGAGTGTAAGGATATTCTACCAGAGTGACACTATTCTCTTATTGTACCAACATCATGAAATTTAATTATAAGTTTTCGGGTTGCATTTTCCTACGAATTCCAACGAAAAAAGTTTCTATATTTAAACGAAAATTGTATAAAATAATTCAAACTGTAGTTATACCAAAAAATTGTTACTTAAAAAGCATATTTAAATTATAAAAAACTTGTTCCAAACGAAGTAAAAAAAAACCACCACAATATTTAGAAATGAGGAAAAGGAGAAACAGTTGTTTGTAATACCTAAAACTAATCGAGATAGATATATATTATGTATATATAATATAAATGATCAGGAGGGCGAGACGAGTTGGAATTTAGGTGACTGCAAAATCCTGATTCGTGCAAGCGATAACTTGAGTAAAAATTAAGATATTCTTTCTTGGCATAATGGGGAGGTTGGTACTTTAGATGAGCATAATCGAACCATTGCCACACCCATAAAACTAAATTATACGAAAATCTATAAAATGTTATAATTAAGCTCCACATTGAGATATAAAACTGTCATTTGATACAAGTAATCGCATTCGGGACGGGCATCAGTGGTTTGAATTCTGGTGATGGGTGATATCGGACGTTACCTCCTCCCACGCTTCTTAAATCGGTTATATTGAATAATAAAAGTGCAATAACTCCATAAATAAACACTTCAGAAGCATTACATTTCAAAGCCAAAATGTTACCGAGGGGCTTTATAGGAGCCAGTGTCAAAATTGAACGATGGAATAGCGCTAAATCTGCGAGATATAACAAAGAAACTCAGAGAAAGTATTTTCCTAGTGATAATGTATTTGTTGGCAATAAAAGGTTAAACCTTTGCATAAATTGATCTAGACCTTTCTCTGAAAGGCCCTCTGGGCTCAGTTTATATCAGATATTTTTCATTCCAGTACATTGATTTTAATATAAATATTTCGGGTTCGAAGCAAAATGTAGTAACGACACTAAGTCAGCTTTCCTATAATATACATAAGTTAATATCATACCATGTTTAATTGTAATCGATTTCGTTTCTTAGACAAACGCATGTTGAATTCTTACGCAACTTTCTTTAATACAAAGTTGTGTCAACACGTGAAAGCAGTTCTTAAGTTTTGATCCTTGAAAATTGCGAGACTATCAAATGTACGATTACACCTGAACATAGCCATTTCTTACTTGTTTTATATAGTTAGGATAAGTATTTAAGAATATTTTATTGGAAAAAACTTAAAATTTATAACACTTAATTTTTCCATAATCGAGCATTGTTTCCACACACTTATTTCATGATATATTAAAGCTTGGCATTTTGCTTTCTGAGGATTCTTGTAAAGATTTGAGAGCTTGGAGCAATAGAAGCGATTATTACTAAAAATAGTGTGTATTCGCTTTAACACACAACTAGATCTTCCAGTGTTCACTATGTTTTACGTATTGGCTTTGCTCTTTACGCTTGGACTTGGTCTACAATATTCAAGTTTCATGCTTCTTCTTGTGTGATCTCAATCTCATGCAGAATGGCATATAAACACCGAAAACTATTCGTATCGAAAGCACACGTTCTGTTACTATTACCACCTGATTACGATGTGTCTACGAGTGCATAACGAACTACATAAAAGCATACACATGCAAAGTGTGCGAGCTCGTAAGTATTTGCTGACCCAGTGAGAAAAATAACAAGTGACACATTGGGGCCCTTTTTGATGAAATTCATAACCAGTTGGTGATTTGGTCTGGTACTGAACTAAATTTGAGGTATGACAAACAAAATTTTACACAAATATATTTACTACTTATTGGTATTTAAACATAATGTTTATATCACTTCACTAATATTTTGTATTTTTGACGTATTTCTTCTTCGTGATATGCCGAAAATGGATGGATCTACAACATTAAGATTCATTATGGTTGGCTTACACACATTTGACCATAACTTAAGATTCTTATAATATCTAGGCTATAACGCACTTTCCTCCAAATGGTAGGCACAAACTAAGCCTTTCACCTACGATAGCCACAAGCAAACTTTAGTGGCAAGTTGGGTATTTCTACAATAGACTAATTCGAAATAATTTACTCGCAAACGTCTCCATCACTCCAAAATTTCCTACAAGATAATCATAGGTACAAGCTGAACGAACGCACATTGCGCAAACATATTACAACTGCTACGTTGTGTGTTTGTATGTACCTGGGTATGTATACATGCATGTGGGTAAGTATGTCCAAATGAATGCCGATTCGTATAGTTAAGAATTTCGAAACGACCTATGACAATATTTAGTTGCCTAATCACAAAATAGAGTTACTGCGCTAGTATTCCTCTTTGATTTGGAATATTTGAAATTTGCGAAACAGACGAATTTGCAGACATTTGATAGTGTAATGTTCTTAGTCAATTCTTTATTCAAATTAGAATATATAATATTATAGTAAGAAATAAGAATATTAGATTAAACATGAGTAATAAAATAAATATAATATTATTATAATATATTATTAATTCAAAACGTTCCTTGGTAGTTTACTTCTTCATTTTTGACTAATGGGTTAATGGGACTTTGGGTTAGTAAGACATAGTTGTAATATATTCTACGATACTGTTGCGTTAAGGGAAATAAATTTTATAAAATTTAAAAATCATATTTGAACTTAGTGCATTTATTTAATAATCTAAGGCTCTATTCAAAAGAGTTTGTTCTAGTGCTGGTTCTGTTATACCGGATCGTTCGCTTTTGCGCAACGAAAGTATTTAAATAGGAAACAATCTGAAAAGGGTTTGGTTAAAAAGACCAAGCAATATTTTCACTGAAATTGATCCATTTCCATAACAACAAATTTAATACATGCAGATATATCGTATAGTGGTTGTACCCATGCGGGGGATTTCGAAAAGCACCACCGATCCTCTTCTCGAGCCAGAGAAGTTCCCTCTGCTGCATTACGAAAACATGCACATACCTACACATGTATGCTAGTGAGTCAGTTTTCAAATATAATTAAACGTACACTGAAATTAAGTAAAAATGCAGGGAAGAGTTGCGAACCCCGATGATGCAAAACATAACTTGAAATAGCATACACCTCCATTTTTACTTTGTTCAACACGCATACACATATACTATCATATCGACGCATCTCTCGAGGCTTGCCAAACCGCTGGTGACTCTTCCAGTTCTGAACTGAATGATGCGGATATGTATCTAGAAAAACTGTAGAAGTAAGACTTAACGCTTCGTACATAATCCATAATGCACTTAATTTTTTAAATTTGTTCAGTTTCATTTTTATGAGCTTCTGTTTCTATTATGTTCCATGTACTTGTTCTTTTTTGTGAATTTTATGTTTGTTTCGCAATTCCCATTCAATTTTGTAATATGACAAGGTGCACTCTTGCAACGCCACACACTCTTTGCTTCCCGCCCACACCCAGCACACACATCGCAGATCTGCACTGCACTGCACCGCGACTGAATTAAATGCCGTTCGGTTAAATTGGTCGGATACTGCATATTGGTCTTTGCTACTCTTGCCACTCTATGCTTGTTCTACTGGTTGTTAGTTCCTTTATTTATTATTATTCTAGCTTTTTCATACCAACGGTAGTAGGTCGCTGCAATTACCGATCTAAACGTATGGTGCAGCAGCTCCTGCCAGGGTTGGCGAAGTAATGAAGTCAAGTGGCTGTTCGAAAAAACCCGTAACGCGTCTATCACGTACCCCGCGGCAAGTTCCACCGAAGTTCGTTACACGAAATAAGTGAACAATACAAATGACCAAATCGGAAGCAATAATAACAACAAACAGGAAAAAAAACAAAGCACTCTCAATAGCAATAGGTAACTAACAACAATAATAACAACAACAACTGCAACAATGCACGTATAACAGATATAAGAAACTAAAAGAATCACTTGCTAACGAAGAAGAACAACGAACGCTGTGAACACAAAAAAATTAGTACAAAAACGAAACGAGTGGCCGGACAGAAACAAATAAGTGAGCGACCGAGCGAGCGAGCGAGCGAACGTGTAAAAACGTCCGCATCCGAAAACACACTGGTAGCAGCCAGCGGCTCCATGGCTGTTGTAGCGACGAACACTACTGCATTGCTCTGTTTGCATTCGACACTGAGAACAGCGACGTCGACGCCGGCCCATCAAGGTACCCACCCCACCGAGTCGCAAACCATCAGCAACGACGTCGCTACCGCCGTTTGAGCATCTCACAAAGTCGGGAAATCGGTATAGTGCGCCGCCGCCACTGCCCCTTGCGTGCCACCGCGCCGACTGGGCCCACCACACACTGTTTTGAACGCTGGCTACCTTTACATACAGCTGCGCGCGCGCTTTATCTCGACCGATGAACTGAACTGCAAACACTACAACTCCTCAAGGCCTACATGGATTTAGGCCATAAAAATGCCGAAGTGATTCAAGCCACTTCCAAGAGACTCAACTCAACATTTTCATCTACATTCACATACATATTTATGTGTATATATATGTTTGTATATACATACATACACTCATATATACGTATCTTTAAAAGCACATTTGTATGTATATATGCATGTCAAATATAGTTTCTCAACGCTCTGTTGGAGTTGGTATTGAGAAACTAAATTGCACCGTCGGCAGCAACAACACAGCGGCAATAACATTGGCTTAAGAAACCAACAAGCCAACAGTAAGCAGCTGGAAATTCGGCCGGCGCTCTCGGCCGACCCACAACAGTCTAAAGTCAGCGAAGGGGAGCACTAGCAATGAGTGGGGGCAAACATTCACTTGCGCTCTTTGTTTAGACTTGCATGCACATGCATTATTTCATACAAAGCTATCTAAATACATATATGAATAAATATACACACATACGTTTACTCCGTAGATATACATATATTAACTTTAGCATCATTGAGCATAGAAACCAAGGCTTGGAAAAATAAAACATCTAAGCTCGCCTACTGATTGACTTATGCTAACATATAGCATATATGGAACACACAGCCATATTTACATATGTAAGAAAATAAAACTATATACATACGTACCTACATACAAGTATGTACAATATTTTCATTGGTAGGGCAGCAGACTGCGGATGCCTATGCCGGATTAAGGCACCTCAATTAGAACCAAAACTTAA